TGCAGCATGGATCGTGCATTTTAGTGCACGGGAACAGAAATGTACCCAAAGTTCAAAGTCTCGGGAAACATGTTTGAATCATAAATAACTTTATTCATAAAAAGATAATTTTTTTCATCTTTTTGGTTGTTGTTGTTTTTAGAAAAACGTTTAATGACCTCAAAGTCATTTTCAACACAAGTGAATCAAAATATTGTCCTTCAGTCCCTAATTACATGTGAAGGTCTGGTATGTGTTTATAAATCCTCTGTGATCTGTTTTTCTTCCAATATCTCAGCCTGTCCATCAGCTAAAAGGATGGTTCATTGAATTCAAACATTTCATTAAGAACTTGTTCTTGTTCACTCTAAAACAAATTTAGAGTATATGCCCCTATGAAGACTTTCAAGTTTAAGTTTAACTGGCTGAGATCAGATTGAGCTCTGGTTCAGTCCATTGTTCAGTTAACCTTCATCTGAAATGCCGCATTGATATTGAAGCTTGTTTTGATGAGTCATTCGTCCTGTTTTTGATTTGTTCTGCAGTGTCAGGAGTTCTTGAATAAAAGCTTCTTCTTTTTTTTCTTTTTTTTAACATTTTCTGTCTTTAAATGTGTCATCTGCATTTGTAGAGCGGCCAATAGGAACAATCTGCCTCCCAAGTTACCTGCATTCCTTCCACAGAAAGGAATAAAGACGGATTTCACTGTTAGATACTCTGACTTGTTGATGTAAACAGAACTGAATCTGGTTGGCACGTCCACACAGGAAGTTGAATCATTTGTCAATAGTTTTTTCTTGAAATGTTCGTTCCTGTCAAACACTGTTGGATGTTTCTGTCCATTTATCCTTCCAGACTCCGGTCCTGTTGACTCCCAGCCCTCTTCCCTCCACCATCCACTTCTGGAGCACGCTCAGTCCCATCGCTCCTCGATCGCCAGCTAAACTTTCCTTCCAGGTAATAAATACACTGAGCCCACTGCGTGCAGTTCCCACATCCTGAAACACAAATCCACAAACAAATGGACGATAACAAGTGCGACAAAATTCACTTCAGTACCAAAACTCCTTCACAGTAAAATCCTTTAATGTGCAGGAACTAAAAGACAATATTGTTTTGGTGAAAGAGAAAAGAATCAGTCTGCAGGTGAAGTTTGTGGTGAAAACTGAAAGAAAAAAGTGTTCAGAGCTGGTTCTCACAATAAGAGACTCGTCTTTTAAAATATAAAAGGTTTGTAGGTTTGCAGAGCTCACACTGAACCTTAGCTTACAGCCACATAATGCTTTGGTCTTTGTCTGTATGCAGGTTTGGTAAATGAAACCACAGCTTCAGTTTCACAGAAAATTCACACGTTTGTGCAGCAAGTTTGCAGTTCTGCTTGCCGCTTCACGCACGCCGTCATGCACACTGGTTCACGTTCAATACACCAGCAGCTGTTAGTTGGGAAGTTTAGACACTTGGATGCTCATTTACACCAGAAGTGAAATCCTACTGCCTGTGGTGATCCCCTTCATTCCTTCTGCAACAACTCACGTCTCAGTCTGAGCTGAAAAGATAATTTTAGAGGCCGTCTGTCATCATTATCGTTCCTTTATCTCTGTGTGCATGTTTTCTGTTAAGTTTGTCATTAAATAAGTTTTCACTTAAATATTTTTCTGCAGCCAAGTTTTAAACAAATATAAACATAAAAGCAGAAAAATTCTCTTATTTCCCTGAGGCTGTGTTTTCACAGCCCGGCGTAGAAATGAGTGGTTAAAAGCATAAAAGATGGACGTAGCCACCATCATGTTACCCTTTGGGTTTTGCAGCAAGCTGCAGCTACAGACTGTATGGGTGCATCTCACACAGACACCGGCTAATTAGTGCAACAAAACAGAACCACAAACTTCTTGCAGGAGC